ATATTAACATTTGTTAATCTTGGGTGTGGGTGTACATTAGGAGGCTCTAATCTGTTCTGTATTTAACATTTGCTTTTATTTTGTTGAAGAAAACAGAAGCTCCTCCTGGCGGCGTGGATGAGAGGTGAGCTGGGGGTGTTTTCATGTTTTCTCAGACCTCTCAACTGGACTTAACTCGTTTTCACAGTCTCTTCTATTTATTTATTTATTTTTTATTATTTTTGAGGCAGAGTCTTGCTCTGTCGCCAGGCTAGAGTGCAGTGGTGCCATCTCTGATCACTGCAACCTCTGCCTCCTGGGTCCAAGCAATTCTGCCTCAGCCTTCCGAGTAGCTGGGATTATAGGCGCCCACCACCACGCCCAGCTAATTTTTTGTATTTTTAGTAGAGACAGGATTTCATCATATTGGCCAGGATAGTCTCTGTCTCTTGACCTCGTGATCCACCCACCTCAGCCTCCTAAAGTGCTGGGATTACAGGGGTGAGCCACTGCGCCCGGCCTATTTATTTTGGAGACTGAGTCTCACTCTGTCGCCCAAGCTGGAGTACAGTGGCACGCTCTTGGCTCACTACAACCTCCACCTCCCGGGTTCAAGCAATTCTCCTGTCTTAGCCTCTCGAATAGCTGAGATTACAGCTGTCTGCCACCACACCCAGCTAATATTTGCATTTTTAGTAGAGACGGGATTTCACCATGTTGGACAGGCCATTCTCGAACTCCTGATCTCAAGTGATCTACCTGCCCACCTCAGCCTCCCAAAGTGCTGGGATTACATGCATGAGTCATCACACCCAGCCTGAGAGTCTCTTCTATAACTCAGCACAGATGATCTATGAGACTCCAAAACTGCCTCCACCTGCTTCCCTGGGGCATTTCTTCTCTCCCTCAGGGCTGGTTTTCCCCAGGCTCCCACATTGGCTAGCCTTGGTCTCTGTCTCCACCTTCCAACAGTGCATTCCAACAGAGGGAGATGGCCTGGGCTTGGATCCCTGCCAGCTGTATGATCTTGAGCCTGGGATTAACATGCCCTGAGTTTTACTTCACACACCTGGCCACAAATGTGTTAATGCCTTCATGTCATCTGCTTCCCTTAAGGATTAAATGTTTTTAATTTGATTATTTTTTTGTAGTGCTTGGATTACAGGCGTGAGCCACTACGCCCAGCCAATTTTTGTATTTTTAGTAGAGATGGGGTTTCTTTCTTTTTTTTTTTTTT